TGAAACTTCTGAAAACATATACAATGGATGTTTATAGGTGGAACATTTATTTATTCCTATAATCATCTTTGGTGATATATAGTATAAAATTGAATAATCCTAGAATATGCTGTCCATCCTGCAACTATRTTCTTGGAATATATCAAGAATAAATTATTGTTAACTGGGATAGGTATACGCTCTAACTTGTAATTCTAAAGTAACATATAATTTGTATAAAASTAATTTTTCTACTCAAAAAATTTGTAAAATTTGTCGTCCCCTAAATGTCCCAGCTYTAGACCYAGGCCTATGGGGCCTGTGAGGCTATGCCTAAATACACCTCTGACAACGGACCCCTCCAGAGGTCCGTGCCCAGGGGCTCTGCCCCATGCCCCACCCACTCACCAACCCTGGAATAGGGCTCTCGATCTGGTACGTTTATTGATATACACGTAGTCCGACCTTAAAATTTAAATAGTAAAATCTATGAATACCCGTGCAATGTGTATTTAATTACACATGTTTTTAAAGTTTGTGTACACGTGTGTCTGAATACACGTGTATTAAAATTACCCGTATTTTTAAGGTACAGTAGTTTTTATAAACTTAAAATAAACAAAATTAATTATACTGTCATGTAATTTTGATCCTTGGAACACCATTTTTGTGGTACTAGGTATTACACTGAGTTAATGTAATGTGTTTGCGCCGGGAACGACAACAATTTTAGGCCATGTGCCCGGTCGCTAAAATGCTTCGTGCGCTGTACCAATGCCACACACCGACCAACCTGTGTAATTGTGTGTACGTGTGTTATAGCTCAACTAGAAGTGGTTGGGTTCGCCGCGCAAATACTAGTGAGCTATGTGGTGTAATGATGTGTAAGGTGTGTATATGGGTGGGTGTGTATATAATTAATTAAACTAAAATAAAAAATAAATGGTAACACGATTGCTGACAAAAATATGAGTTGCTGTATAATACACAAATTAAATAATAGTACAATTAATATATGATAAAATCACAGCAACACAATATGTATAAAAAATATAATATATATAATAAATCAAGCCCTTATGGCTATAACCGTATACAATATATATTGTGGCCCTTCTGGCCCAACAGAAAAAGATATATATAAATGAGCGGCCCTTATGGCCAAGCAAATGACAATATAATATTCCGGCAGCTATTAGAGCTGTAGTCCGTAAAAATAAAGTATAATTAWGGTAAAATTAATAGATAATAAAAATAAAGGTATAATTCACGGTAGCTATTAGAGCTACGTGAAAATATAAAAATGTTAGCCCTTCTGGCTCAACAGAATAATATTAATATATAATATAATAATATCGGCATACGATAGCGTCCTAATCTGCATATTATTACATAATTAAATACAATTAACTAAAATAAAATATCATAATAATAAAAGGTATGTGTTGCATGTGTGTGTGTGTGTCGATCAGGTGTAGGAAGCGCGCGGAGCGGTCGGCGGTACTGCCACTAACGTACCTAATAATAATATAGTCGTTCCGGGCGCAAACATAATGTTATGTATTTTTTGATCACCCGATAATTGCCAGTTATAAATAAATATACCAATTATTGCGGCATACAAGTAAAATCCAAAATTGATATTTTAAGTTTTAATTTATTGCACATCGACCACGATCAAACTATAACAACAATAAAATAATACCTAAATATAACAACATCATTGCAAATTCATTATGTTAAGAATAAAATAAAATTTACACATTATTTTGAGTGACTTTTATTTCATTTGTGCGTTGTACAAAATTATTTGAAATTCTTGTTCACGTACGTATTTAAGTTTAATTGTTTCATTAATTTATAAAATGAGTAATAACTGTAAAAGYTGAGTGTGGCTATAAGCTAAAAACCAAGGCGATAAAGCTTAATATTGTGATTTGTGTACGGAAAACGAAAATAATGAATTTTGTTGTATTGGTGGAACCACAGGATCTTTGGGTAAACATTTGAAAACTATAMATGGTATAAAACCGCTCACGACTGTAACACGAAGGTATGTACTAATAAATATATATTAATATATAAGCCACATAAAGAATTTAAAATTCTGTAGGGTTTTACATTTTTAAT